AAAACAGTCAGATGGGAAGAACCAACCATGGGACAAGAGTAGCAGGGTACAGAATGATGTCATACTTTTACTTTATTATTGGTCATGCTATTTTAGATGTATTGTCCCTGAACTATATACTTCGAGGCTGTTTCTCCAAGTTGTGTATTTCCAAAGTACTTAAGATTTGCACAATATTCCATTCATTGATTAATTCACATGCTATTCTAACTATTGCTACGGCACATGGTCTCGTGTTCCTTTTTTTGTTTATGTAATGTTAAGAAATGTTAACTGTGGGTGACTGGGTGGGAATATTTGAATGTTTTTTGGGAATATTGATAGGTTTTAAAATTGGTTAGATTAGAATGAAAAACCACCTTTTCTTTCACAAGCTCTAGAATTTTACATGAATTGTCTCTGAAAGTTTCAGGAATTTTACCCATAAAATGGAACTAACACGACAGAAAAGCTCTCCTGATCTCTACTCCCCTAACAATGCATGGACACATTCAGGACCTGAACCTTTGCTGAAATTATTTTCAAATGGAATAAATCAAAGTGGAAATTAATTATCTTTATTACAAAGAACATGAGATATTTTATATTTAAAATTTAGTTCATAAATTATATATTCTTATTTTTATCTATTGGCATATTTATCCTTTTGTTGGTTTTAAGGACTTGCATATGTATGTATTATATATATATATATATATAGATATAGATATAGATATAGATATATAAATATATTTTTAGTGAAATATATCCATCTTTTGTTTTATGTAATCATATTTTAAGTCACTTTAATTAATTTTCCATTTAAATGTTTAATTCATCTGAGTAACTTATTCGTTTTATAGGTGATATGAGCATTGCCTTAACAAAGCATGTTGAGTAATGCTTTCTCTCAACACTGATTTCAAATAGTGGTCTTAGCTCTCCCAGTTGTGAATATCCATTTCCCTGTTCCCACTCAGCTTCCTGTACTTGAATGCTGCTTCCCTTTGTTCCTTTGAACGACTTGTATCTTTATTATAATTTATGTATTTATAATTTATTATAGGATATGTTTTAATAATTCAGCAGCTAAAGCCGTTCTACAAAGCATTTCAGCCTCTTTTTTTTTTTTTTTTTGTCCCCAAATAAACACTAGAACTTCATTTGGAATTTATAAATAAAATTTGAAAGGACTGACAGCTACAAACAGCAGTCTGAAGTTATGTCTCTGGTAAGAGCCAGGAAGATCTACTCTGTGCTCCTGATTACTGAGCTTTGACCATAATGTGACCAGAAGGAGGAACAAAACAAGGCTGATGGAAAGGCCACGTGACCCCGGGCGTCTGTGACTAGAGACTCTACTCAGGGCTGCTCCCGTTTGTTGTTTCAATTAAACCTCCCACATTGTTTCTCGGTGAATGTAAGAATATAAAATTTAAGGGGAAGCCTAACCACCTGAGTTCAATCCCTGGAACCCATGTAAATGTGAAAGGTGAGAAACACTTCACAAAGTCACCCTGTGATCTCCACTGCACACTGTGACGTGTGCTCACCACCGTCTCCCACAGGTACACATACAATAATAAATAAATGAAGTTAGGTAACTACTCTTGTGCTCATTCTTTTTCCTCTCCCTCAATTTCACACAAGTGGTAAATTATAGATCTCTCTGATAAGATCTGCTGGAGAAAATTGTCAAAGACTTAGTTGTTTACAAAATCAAGACAATCAAAAATTCCAGTCGTAGCCTTGGGGCATCAACTTTTTTGCATGGGGGCTGGGAACTTAGCCTGATGTCTTGTGCAGACTATACAAACGAATTTCTGTTGTGTTATCTCACCAACTGGCTTCAATCGCAGGCGCTTATGTGTACAGAATCTGGCTAGTTCCTATACCTCATGGGCAGCCTCAGTGAGTGTATGTGTTTTACTTACTTGGTGTCTGCTTGCTTTGTAGTTGTTGATGTTTTTCTGGCAAAAATTAACGGGGAAATAATTAAATATTATAATTCCTATAAGAGTTCAAGGCTTTAAATAAATGACTGACAATTGATACTTATATTAATGCCGGGGGAAATTAAACTCTTTTAGCGTGTGTGACTTTTGCTTCAAGAAAGAATTCTTTCTTGCAGTTTTCTGACTTTGCTGCCTAAATAATCTTTTGAAAGATGAAACACTCTCTCAATCAATGACACTCCCATGCCCAAGCCTATCTGCAAACAGCTCAGAACTCCAAATGACACTGTCTACCATGTGGCTCCTAGTCCAGAAGCAGGGGTCTTCTTTCAGAGACTACGCCTTTCCCAGCTCCTTCACTGTTTAAATTACACCTATCATCACATTCCAGATCAAGATTTTTTTCATTTCCCAGACACTAAGGGGAAACTCAGCAGCTTGGTGTTTGCCAACATTGTTCCCCATCTCAACTGGCCCTGTCTTGTTCTGTTTCTCTGTTAATGTTGCATCTTATTTTTCTGGTAAGACCTTTGTGTATCTGCTCACGCTGATCTGAGCTATCTGCAGCAAACATCTTGATAACTGAAGTATGAAAGTATTCTAGTTGACCATTCCAGTTTGCAGTCCATCCTGTCTAGGGATAGGAGAGATGAATGTTGGTCCAAGTAGATAAGGTGCTGATGGTGAAGGTCTAGACTTGACTTTACAGGTTCCATCTTAGGGAAAGGGCCACCATCTCAGACCACCTGCTGTACTCAGTTCCAGGGAGAATCTCAGGAATGTGCCATGGCAACTTGAACAGATACAGGGCAGTAAGTTTTAACAAGATCCAGATAATCCTGTTCAGCGGGTTGTAGTTCCCCACCAAAAGTCTAACCCAGTGGTTTCAAATGTGGTTTCGCACCCAAAGTCTAGACCAATAGTTTCAAAAAAAAATCACCTTGCCCCATATCCCTTCTACCCAATCCCAAGCATGTAATTCCCGGCTTGTGGTTTTTCCCTATAAAAACTTTCCACACCTGGGTTCATGGCCGCTGCCACATTTCCTTCCATCTGCCATGCAGTGGCCCAGGTTGAACATGAATAAAAGGACCCTTATGTGCTTGCATCAGAAACTGGCTCCTTGGTGGTCTCTGAGGGTTTCAAGAAACAGGTACAACACTAATGAGTAGCATGATGCTGTCATCTAAAATGCTACCAAGACTGCTACTCAACGCAATGGCTAGACATTGGACTGTATGACAGCTGTAGCCTGGGATACTTCTATTCCGTGGCTTGTTTTGTTATGTCCATACATTAGAAGCTCTTTGTAGGGTGGGATGAGGGACTATTCCAGATGTGGACACATGGCTGTGTCAGCAAAGCTCCTAGCGATCTTCTTATCTCAGCTTTTAGACTGCAGGACAATGAACAATGAAGACAGAGAAAAAAAAGGCAAAACCTTTAAATATTTTATTAAAATGTAAAAAACTGCTCCATTGTGGTTAATGCTTCTGTGTTATATTACAAATTCTAAGCCATGCTCACAGCAGTCTACCTTATTATCTTCCTAGGAGTTTAACAAATTTATGAAATAAAATTCCCTCCTATGTAGGCTGCTTTACCTCAAATGTTACCTCTTTTTGGCTTTAATTAGATAGGCCCACCCCCTTTAATATTTTATACAAATTTATTTCATGGAAGCAAAACTTAATCAAATTAGAGTTGTTGGCTGGTATGCTCACACATGGTACTAATTTTTCTTCTTTATTTTCTTGCTATTGTGTGAAGTAAGCATTTAGAGTCAGTATTTGCCCTGGTCTTTTGATGTAATTTCAGGATTTCAGAAACTTAACCTGGAGCTCCCTGATACATTTCCCCCCTCGTTGGATGTAGTGCTTTTTCTAACACAACGGTGTTGAACTGGCTAGGCAACAATCATATTTTATTTGATACTCAGAAACACCAGAGTGAAAACTACCAGTTTTTATTTTCTTACATTTGTCTGAGTTCATTATTCAATAATTGTTGTGTTTTTACCAGAAGCAGAATTAGACTAAGCCCCTACCAGCTAAAAATACCTGTGTTTCCAAGTACTATTTTTCTTTCTTTTCTCCTATCAATGGCTGGCTGCAGGGCAGGACCCCCTACTCTGCATACCACCTAATCTTGGTGTTTAGAGATTGCTTTTCTCTCTCTCTCTCTTCTTACTTTTCTATTTTTTTTTTTTCTGACTCTAACTCTTCGCAAGGAAGCCAGAAGTGTGACAGAAAGGTGTGATTTTTAATTTACACCAGAGTCTTGCAAATAATGACTTTTCACACCCCGCGATTGCTGCTTAGCCTGGGGGAGGAGTTCTGTGGCTACTGTTTGTTGAAGCAAATTAAACCCACTGTTGAAATTCAAAAGGTGTTCTTCTGTATTTAACCCTTGTTTTCGGTTTTCCAGTCGGTGTTTGTGGATACTTAGGAGGATGTGGCCCGTTACCTTGAAGTTTCTTGTTTTCTAGGAAATTGCTTTTGTAGTCTGTTATTGTCAGGCTGTCCTGAATGAAGGGGACATCTTTTTGCTTCTGACCATCCTTAGTCTGATGTTGGTAACTATAACTTACTTAAACACACACACACACACACACACACACACGTTTATTTTTAAAACTGCCATCAATAAAATGTAAACACATAAACTAATACATATTTTTTTTATCTTTCCCTATAATTCCAATTCCACCAAGGGGACCTTTTTCCTCTGTCTTTATAATATAGTTAGTATCGTATAGCGAAACGATAAATCATCTAGAATGAAAGTCAATATTGGAAATAATGGTGAAAGGTTAAAATATTTTAGGATTGTTTTCTGCTTTTGTTTTTTGTTTCTGTTAGTTCCTTAGAAGTCCCTTGTGTTAAATTCTAAAGACAGAAAAGGCCCTTCCTTGAGAAAATGGGAAAATCATGGAAGTTGGTAGGATAGGTTGGCGGCATGGCAATTTGGTGAGTCGCTAGGAACATACCTTCCCAACCTTGGGCTACAGGGCCTGAAGGAGGCGGTGCTTCGTGCCGCTGTACATGACCTCTTCAAAGGAGAGGGAGAAGGTCACATGCCCCTTCTCCCTGCTCCTGCCTGCCAGGTGGATTTGCTCCCGGTCAGCTCAGAGGACGACTTCAGGTGTCTACTCCATTCTGTATTTGTGAGTGTATTTCCTCAATTTATATTTAATAAATCCCTATGACCCATTTTTTTAAAAATGTACCTTGCCAAGTCTGTGCTTGTTTCTTTCACTTCGACAACATTAACATTTCAATTATTTCCTAATATTGAATCTGCCAAACTAACTAAAAAAAAAAAAAAAATGATACTAGCTCCTTTACCAGTTATAATAGTGTTTGGTACCACTTGAGAACGCAAAAGAATATTCAAGAGGAACACTGGAAGGATGGGAGAACGGTACTAGAAGTCATCTTTCCCTGAGAAAGCTGGCACTGACTTCTGTTAACCCAAAGCTGCCAGGGTGTTGGGAAGTCAGTCCTCTTTCCTAGCTGGGAGCAGAAAGGGTTAAGCCATCCTGGTTTGCTCATCTCTTGCAGTCAGGCTTTTATCTGATCCTTCTTTCCTTTCTCCCCTGCCCACCCCTCGGTAAATGTCAACCACTTCCTGATGATTTCACACCTTTCTGTTCTTTGTGAAGAAACCTGGGTGTTAATGGTACAGGATTGGGTGCCATTGTACGCACACGGGCTGTCTGTTAGTTAAACTGAGGGATGCCTGTGGAAACAAAGTAGGAGAAGGTGAAGACATGAGACTAGGCAATAGACTAAAATCCATCTTTAAAGCATGTATTTGTTTATTAGCATCTTTTAAATGTGCGTTGTAAAAAAAAGAAAAGATTAATTTTTTAAGAGCTAAGTATTGGAAAGAGTGTAGCAGAGTAGAAAGCTGACTATTTAAAAAAAAAAAAGTCAAGGACCAGAAATTAGGGAGAAAGGTAGGAAGGAAGGAAGGAAGGAAGGAAGGAAGGAAGGAAGGAAGGAAGGAAGGAAGGAAGGAAGGAAGGAAGGAAGGAAGGAAGGAAAGCAGGCAGGCAAGCTATCTTCACCTTTCACTCTACAGGTTTTTATTGACAAGAATCCGGCAATGGAAACGTGGTCAGTTGATCAGGTCTGCACGTGGTTGGTGGAGAAAAACTTAGGTGAGCTAGTCCCCAGGTTTCAAGGTGAGTTGTTTATTCTTTCAGTGAATTTGATTGAGTCATGCGATTGTTCAGGGGCCCTTTCTTGTGAAAGCTGCTTATGTTACCCTGTGTCTGCCTATGGTGTAAAAGGGGTTGTTTGGATGAAGAACTTCATCTCTTTCCTATAGTCTGGGGCAGTTTCTAGTTTTACCTACCACCCTCTGACGAGAATACTATTTCTAGTCGATTGCAAACTCTTGGGAGTAACATTTGATACAAACATTGTATGTTTCTTCTGTCTTACATAATCACATGTGTTTTATATAGTGGGGGATGTGGCAATATTAAATATCAACTAGGAGGTATTATACACAGTTTCTCCCAAAGACCTTCTATTTCTTTTGACTGTTAAAACTGGCCTGAGAAAAAGTGTTCATGTGCAAACAAAGTTTTTATTGGGACTCCATGTTCTGGTAATTTCTTAGCAGCAGACATCAACTTCAAACTATGCACTTTCAGAGCTCTGACAGATAATGTTGTAACTGCCATCACAAGCTTAGATGATCCTTTTACTACTAGAACTAGTTTTATCTTTATTTTTCTATGTCCATGTTTTCCTGGGAAGTGATATGAAAGCTAGCTTTCTTTTTCCCAGAGGAAGAAGTCAGCGGAGCCGCACTCCTGGCACTTAATGATCGGATGATACAGCAACTGGTAAAGAAAATTGGACACCAGGCTGTTCTGATGGACTTCATTAAAAAATACAAGCAGAGCAATCAATGGCTGAAGCCCACTGGAGGCCCCAGAGAGACATCCCTGTTGACCCTGGCACAAGCTGGCCCCGAGTGAGTACACGCGTGAACGGGCTTGCTTTTCGTTCCTGTGCCTGCGTGGCTCTTGCCTTGTGACAAACAACCAAAGCCCTTTCAAAACTGTGGCCAATTTTCAGCTAGACAGTGTGCACAGTATTTCTAATATTTGACTAACTCTTATGAGGAATTGTGCCAGGATTTGTTGCTTTTATTTCCTCTGTTCTTTCAACACTGACTGCATGCAGTTCTTGGGGGCAATCCTGCAGGCAGGAACTTCCCGAACAAGCTGATGATGCGGAGCCAAGAGTAACCATGCACATATTAAGTGTGGCAAGGAGATGAGCTGCTGGAACCGGGCTGCCACAAGGACCTGTGGCTGTCCCTTTGTCTTGTCCCAAGCCCTTTGTTCTTTTCCGTGTTTATTTGCTTAGGCCTCTCTGTGGTGACTAATTCAGACTCTCTTCTCTAGGACCATCACAATAGAATTTGCTAGCCCCTTCATCACAATTGAGTTTCATAATTCTTTGGGAGTTAGCCATAAAATATGGAACACTGTGACAGAATGCTAAGAGAAATCATGTAGAAAGTAAAAGTCCTAAGGTTGGAGGGTGGCTTTATTGTTTGTTTTTAACCTCTGGCTTTTCGATCTAAAGGAATGATAATAAGATTTATCGATTAAAATGTTCATTTCACCAATCTATGCCTCAAGATTCTTTCAGGCACTCTGGTTTAATGTTTCCCTTTTTAAGACTTAGGAAGACTTTAAAGATTAAATATTTGCTATTGACCAATTACAGTTCATTAAAAAAAAATAAGATGTGATATTTGACAGTATCATTTTCTTTTTACCTTTCCTAAAACTAGGCCTGTAATTATAAATATTTCTCTTTTCCTTAATAAGCAATATAATGTTAGGGAGTCTCAGCTTAAGTGATTTGATTTCTAGAGTACTTAGATATGTGGGACCAGTCGCCATGAAGGGCTAGTCTTACATTGGGCTGAAGAGTAGACATGGTTGATTTGTAATTCCAGGACAAATTGAGAGGCTGAGGCAGAAGGATTGCTGTGAGTTTGTGGTTGATCTGGACTACAGAGTTAGATGTTGTTTTTTAAAATAAAAATAATTATAAATGAGGTCAGACTGGAAATTGTTGCAAGTGACTTATTTGAAGGATTTCTTCCACACATGGTTGCGGCATGGTCTTGGGTCTGTGACTTTTTGTGAAGTTCCCATTATAATCTTTTAATCCTCTCTAGCAAAGGGGGGGGGTGAGTTTCAAAGAGATTGCAGTGTCATTTCCAGGCACTTTGGGGTGGCTAGAACTTCTGAGCTGGAAGTCCCTTCCCATTGACTGGAATCTTGATCATTCCTTGGGCACAGTTCAGAAGAAAACCGGCAGCCCGTAAATTTACTCAGACTGCTCTGCCACACACTGGAGCTGGTTGGACTGCCAAGAGCTTGGGGTTTCATCCATCCTGGTTTTACCACTGACTTGAATTAATTTTGCTCCCATGTTGGAAATCTTGTTTCTTCATCTGCATGTTGAGAAAGTAATTGCATTCCTCACTGCCTGAATTCACACGATGAGACACCATAATCTCGGGGCAAATCTTTGCTCTACTTACCAGACCAACACAGTCCTTTGTTAGTGATGAAACTTTCTTAACCAGGTTATGACTGCTACTTTCAATTGCAGCCAAGGCTGGGCATATTGGTAGCCCAGAGATTTATGAATGTGAGTTATTGCTCTATCCAGCAAGTTTCCAACTTACTTTAAGGATTTGTGTAGTCTTGTATTTAGGTGAAAGTATTCTTGTGTGAAATGACAAGTTGCCTGTTCATTATATTTGCCAAGCACATTGTACTTAAAGAATATGTTGTCAGTTGAGGACAACAATAAGCAGATATGGATATATGCCATGGAATCAAACGTTTGTAGAAAATGCTTAACAAGGACAGGAAATTTGAAGTAACCCCACAGTTAGGCAGCTAATACATGTGATTTCAGATTCCTGCTATATTTGCTACTCATCTAACCCTGGGCATTTATTTGACTTTTTACCACTTTTGGTTTGAGCCTATTCAACTGTAAGATGAAATATAGAATAAATGATTCTTTTGACTCATTCTTTAAAAATCTATAATAGTTAGATCAGAGAGAGCAAATGGGTTTTAACTTGAATATTCCATTCAGTGGTTGATTGCCTAGTATACTATTTTGCAAAGAAACAGCTGAAGAGGATACATCCTATTCAGAACTACACAGATAACAGGAATGTGTAGCTTGCAGTGGCTTTTTGATTACTGTCTTCATTGGATCTGGTAGAGAAATCACTGAATGGGAAATTGGAGGGAATAGGTGCAAATTCTGACGCACAGTATACTGTGTAGCCTGTGGCCGTGAGCAAGCTTCCTTTCATTCTGGGCTTCTGGGTTTCCTCACTTGGAAGAATGGAGTGTAGTTCTAAGATGAAAAGATTTTATGATAATAATAAAAAAAAAACTTCCTTTGAAAATAGTAGGGAGTCGAGGCACGATCTGACACGGGTAAGTACTTGTTTTTACTGTAAGAATAATAACTGAGGATAAACAGACTACTCTCACGATCACTTCTTAGGAAAGTCTTATCTCAACGCCATTTAAAGACCTGCCACATTGGGAGCGGAGGAGATGGCTCGCTTGCACAGGGCTTGCTTGTTATGTAAGCATGAAGACACACGCTCACTACACAGTACCCACATGAAAGGGCAGGTATAGTGGCACACAATTGCAAGCACTGAGGAGATGGAGAAAGGCAGATACCTGGGGCCCATGGTCCAGCCAACCTAGAGTAATCATCAAGTCCCAATTCATAATAAAACAGCAGGAAGGCTCCTGAGAAATGACACCTGAGGTTGACTTCTGTTTTGTACACACACACACACACACACACACACACACACACACACACACACCCTCCGCCAGATTGATGAAGGCAATAAAGTGAACCCGGAATCAGTCCACTCCATAGAGAAGCCACTGTGTGCGGTAATGTATGGGGTCTTCTATGCAATCAATATTCTTAGCCATGAGTTTCATAAAAGCTCAGATAAGGATCAAGATGGGCTGAGCCTTCCCCTCGAACACCCTGAGATCAGTGGTTATTGCTTTTATTTAACAGCCCATGACAATCACACAGCTCTTCCAATTTGCTGCAGGCATGAAGAGAACTCCAGTCTCACCAGCTATGGAGACCAGACATCTTTGCATCCAGCTGAAAACCTTGATAATGGACTCATTGACCAAAGAGTATTGAAGCAGAGGTGAGACACTGACTTTATATTTTGTTTGTCTTTGTTTATGAAATTTCATATGTTTAAATACACTATAATTTACAGCTTTTTTCATTGTCCTAGAAGGTGAGCTTTTATCAAGTGATAAAGATACTGGGTAAAATATCAAGGCTGAATTGACAAAAGAGTTTTGATGATGCTATACATTTCTTTCAAGTGTTTATTCTTAGGTGGGGAAAAGTATGTTCCTCCATTATAATCTATCCAGGGTTATTTGCAGATAATGTCCCGTAGAACTTGAATTGAGTAAGAATCTTTGGTTTTGTGTTGGATTTTGGAGGCTGCTTTAACTTGACTATTCTAGAAGGAGGCGCTGTTCTCATAAGCAGTTCGTTAACTTTCCTAGTGATGTTTCAGTGTCTGGGTTCCATTGCAGCAAAGGAAATAAACTACGGACCTAGAGACTCACATGCAGAAATCCAGTGCTCAGACAAAACTGATGCGGGGTAGCAGATAAGAGGTGTCTCAGCATCCTCCTCTAGCCTCTTATAGCTACCCAGCCCAGGCGGTCCATGCATCCACTGTGTATGGTAAGGAGTCCCTACAGAGTGAAACATTTCAGATGATCCATACATCCACCATGCATGGTAAGAATCCCTGTAGAGTGAAACATTTTCCAGGTGTAAAGGAAATATCCAGAACAACCAACCAGGACTATGGTCCTTTGTGCGTGCGTGCGTGCGTGCGTGCGTGCGTGCGTGCGTGCGTGCGTGCGTGTGTGTGTGTGTGTGTGTACAACCTCTGGCACCATCCATATTGCTTTCTCTTTTTATACATAAATAAAACTGAGAGTTGGAGAAGTCAAAGGATTTCTAGGTAGTTTCCCGACAGATTCTGTCTTACAGTCCAGCTGCCTTTATTCCACGATTCCCCTGGGGGATGGTGAACTAAAAGATGGAAGGGAGGGCTGTGCTTGGTGGCACAGCCTTGTAGTAAATAAGCCAGCAACCTGGGAGGCTGACACAGGAAGAATCACAGATTCAGCGTCACCCTGGGCAACTTAGTGAAACCCTGTCTCAAAATAAAACAAAGGTCTGGGTATACTACAGCATGGGAAGATGAAAGGGAGATGCTAGGCAGAAAATCAGCTCCTTGGGTGTTCTTCGTTCAAAGGACAGTTCAGAAAATGCAGATCCGTTTTCAAGGCAGCTTCATCCTCAACTTTCTGTTCGGGGTGCCGTTGGATTCCTAAGGTTTTCCTTCGCTGTGAATTCCCGATGCTCTATGCAAAGCTGCTAGCGATGCTGTTGCTGCCCTAGAAGTGTGAGGAGGAGTGCCAGTGGGATCTGCCTCCTTACCACTGTCTCCATCCTCTGGTGTAAAACAGGATTGACAATCCTCGTATTTATCATTCTTCATCACACCCACCCAGTGGAAGAAATCAAAACAAGACTGCTTTGGAAGTTGAGAGAAATGGAAAGGCTTAGAAACCAGAACATATATGCCCATAAACATCACCTCAAAATACCTCCAAGCTGCTGGCTTGTATATTAGATTACCTATTATCCACCCATCTAGAAAAGAGCCTCAAATTATATATATGTTTGACTCACATATATGTGTATGTGTGTATATTCATCAGTCTCTCCTACCTTCAAGTACATGTGAGTGTAAGAAACAAAAATTCATGAAAACTAAAGACAAAATGCGTTTGTTGTAAGAAAAAAGAACTCACAACATCTGGGGGCAGAATCCTTAAGTTCCCCTGGCTTCAGAGGCCTGGTTCTGGTCTCCTTCCTTCTTTTCTGCTTCCTTCCTTTACTTTTCCTTAGAAGGATGTATTATTCTGCTAATTATGGATGTTCTGCTTCCTCCATACTGCCTCATCCAGCACCAACTCCACAGAAATTCTCTCTGATGATAACTCAGATCTCCAATGCCAACTGACCCAGTCCTTCATGATTGCTTCATTTATGTATTAGGGGAAGGGGAACTCACTTAGCCCTGCATGGTCGATGGCCTTCTTCTAGGCAATCGGCTCTGTGAGACAAGGTAAGACTGCACTGGTCCTGTAGACTGGAGTAGGACAGAGATCCCATCGCCTCATGTTTTATCTCAGACAGTGACAGCCCCATCCAGCCGTGTGAACTAAAGTAATTAAAGGCATCTTCAGCCTTTTTCTTCTACCCTCTGCCATTCTATCCTCTTGATAGTTATGTATCAAGGGCCTCCTGTGTGTCTTTCATGTTAGGCTGTGTGGTCCCCTCACCTGCCTGCCTGCCTAACACCTACCCCATCCTTTAAAACTGTTTAGCCAGCCTCCAGGGACATCCAGGCCATCCAGGTTCAGTCCTTTTATAAAAGCTACCTTCTTTGTAACTCTTGTTTTGCTTACAAAAGTGGACAATAACCTTGGTTTATTAAAGCCTATTTCCTCTTCAGACTATAAACACCTCAGAGGCAATGACCACATCCTTTCATTTTATAGACTGAATTTATCTCAGCCTCTGGCACCTTAAAATCCAATCAGACTTTCAAAACTGAACCAAAGAAAGACAATATGCTTTGGGGAGACAGGATAGATGTTTGAGTAGCAGCAATTTCTTTTTAGCCCTTTGAGGCAATCGATACCAAATGTGGCGATTTTACAAACACCGCTTTGGGACTTATTTCCCATTTGCTCATAGCAGGCAATGCATTTGAAGGTGTTGCCCACTAGACTTTCATGAAGTCAACTGCTTTTAAGTTGGAATGGGCAATGGAGCAAGTGCTGGTTTCGGGGCTCTGTTCCTTTCCACTTGCCCCCCCAAAACTGTTTCTGTAACTACTTGGAATGGAAACACCACTTGATACCCACAGAGACTTGGTGGGAGACAGACCTAAGCACCTGACACTTGTCACCAGGTCACACGGAGACAGTTGCAGTTATTTGGGATATTTTTCCAGTGTTTCCTGACAGGGGCTTCATCTTTGCATGCGGACTTTTGCAGGTAAAAAGGAAAAAGCAGGTCTCCTGAAGCTGCATACTCACCTGGTTTTGGTTGTGCTCAGTCTCTGCAAAAGTCTTTGGTTGCAGTCAAAATAAGATGTGTGTCCCAGGGGATGAAACCCCATGACACTCTGGAGCAGTGAACTTGTCTTGGGTGACAGGTGATTCTGTGATTGTTACTGAATCACAGAATGGTTTAAATACTTCTCTGGATCATTAGGTGACATCATCATGTGCTGTGGACATGTTAGGGGCTTCTTCTGCAATGGAATTCTTTCTTTTCTTTTTTAATCTACATACTAAAAAACTGTTCATTTCTCTTTTAGTGCTCAATAAGGCAAGAAATCAGATAAACCAAGGTTTCCTACTTGTTACTTTAAAGACTCTTGACTTGAACTTTAAGTACATGTGCCATGCTTTGCTCCTGCCTTGGAGCATAATTACAATTTAGTCATGGTTTCATGCATATTTAAGAATTACGTTAATGACTTTTCTCGTGGTCTAGCTACTGCTGTGAGATGGTGTAGTTTTTCCTGCCTCTGCTCTGTGAAGCAAATATCAATGGATCCTCAACATTTCTGATATTTTAGTTGCATTTTCACATCGGTATTTCAGATAAGGGACAGCAACATAGCTGTGTATGTATTCGATCCCAGACTATAATAAAGGGAAGGCTTAATGAAGCCTGGCAGCCCAGATATGCAGTGAGTCTTCTCAGCAATGCTGGTGAATAAAATCAGGGGCTAACACATGCTAATGGAACACTTTATCACTAGGACCCAGCCTTGTGATTAGAATTCCCAGTTCCTATATGCTTCTGTCCTCTGTTCTGTTGGCAGAGAGCCACGGGAAGTGATTATCAGAGACTAATCATACCTTGTTGTGTCAATAAATATTCACTATGTAAGGGAGCAAGTATTTTATGCATTTTCTATGGCTTCTTCATAGTTGAGTCAAATCTATATGACCACATTAGAAAATGAAAAAATCAGGCTGGAGAGATGGCTCAGAGGTTAAGGGCACTAGCTGCTCTTCCAGAGGTCCTAAGTTCAATCCCCAGCAACCACATGGTGGTTCACAACCATCCGTAATGAAATCTGGTGCCCTCTAATGGCTGGTAGGCATACATGCAGGCAGAACACTGTATACATAATAAATAAATAAATCTTTAAAAAAGAAAATGAAAGAGTCTTGCAGAAGAACCTTGTGACTAGACGGGAGGTCTTGAGACTCTCTACCATAGCTACTGGTTCACACACAGCTCAACAAGACAGATGAGTTGAGAAAGGGGTAAATGTAAGCATTAGATGAGCATTGTCAACCCTGAGACAGCAGAGTTAATAAAGCTGGGCACCAGGGACAAGCAAATAGTTAAGAGCTTAGTTTTGGAGCCTGGCTTTGTCATTTGCCAACTAGGTCACAAGTCCTCCAGCCTAAGTGGGGCTTATTTCTCATCTGTAAATGAACAGAATGGTGAGTTAGTATATGAAAAGTTCTTAGGACCTGGCACACAGTTGGCATACATAAATTTTAACTATTGTTTGTGTTATAGCAAGCATGGGGATCCAGTGAGATTCAGAGGATTCTGGTCTCAATTCTCACAGGTGGTCCCAGGTTGAAGATCAAGGCTTATACCAGGATGTTTGGGGCAGCAGTGCCCTCCTGGGACTCAGGCTCTAGGACAGAAGACGGAACACCCTGTCCTAGAACGTCTGGGCCATGGGTTGAGAGCTGTAATAGAAAACAGGACAAGGAGTCTTATAGGTCTGTGTATACAATGAGAGTTAGAGAGAAGCTTCCAGACCTCACAGACAGACACCGTTACCATTGCAAAGGCATCAGAGAGCACACAGGTGGTACACTGCCATATTTAGCTACTGAATCCCAGGTCAGTGGAACAGCAAGATCTCAGTGGATCCACAGGCGCTCCTACCCAAAGGTCTGTGTTAGAGACATATGACAGACTAGTCCTGTTCCTTGAGAAACTCCCAGTGTACAATCATATAGTAGAGACTATGAGGAATCCTACAGGTAAAATATG